CCAGCCGATGTTTTCTCAAGCTAAGTGAGGGTTAAGTGAGGATCAAGTGCCAGCAAGGAGATGGACGCCGAAATGGAGGAGGAGAGGAGGAAGCTGAATCCTTTGGGACCCGGTGGGCTGGATCCCTTGGAGGCATCTGGGAGACGTGGAGAGAAAACCAAGTCACATGCCAAATGACCTCTGGTGACCTTTGAGGTCTTCGAGACCCTGCCTGCAGAGATGCAGTGGCTTTGGCTTGTTTTCTTCAGGGATTCTCTTAGGGATTAGCGTCGAGTTGTGCTGAGTCTGAGTGGAAGTGGGGATGCATGCCGACTGCCGACCGCTTCTCTTCAGGATCGCTTTCAAGACCAAGGATGCCCAAAGGTTACACGCCGCTGCCCGGCTGGCCTGTACCAAGCATCCATATTGCAACTCTCGCAACTCTCAACAGCGAGCTCGTACGGTTTTTCTCTCGCCAGGTCGAGGCCTTGCCGGCCGAGGAGGCGAGGTACCACCTCCAGCGCTGCGAGGACAGCGGCCTCTGGGTACCCAGCCAGCAGGCGCCGGAGCTCTGAGTTGCAACTCACAGCGTTCTACGTCCCTACAATGGCCTGTGTTTTTGCCAGGGTGGTCCGCCTCCATACCGTGCATAGAGGGCATCCGTAGTATTTCGTAGTCCTGTGATGGAGAGAAGTTGGACTCCTTCGAGCTGCGCAGGCTCCTCCACCAACCGTATGGCTAGACTACGGAGGGGTCATGTTAACGTTCAGAACCTGGGAGAAAGATGAGAAAGTGAACACACTTACCTCCTGACTTACTTACATATACATCCTGCACTTGTTCTTAACAAAGCACGCCAGCCGCATCGGAGTGAGCAGTCCTGAGTCTGCATCGCAGTTGTCGATAGCGCACGGCTGTCAAGACGGCGGCTCGAATTCAACCTGGAAAGCGGATCTTCTGCATTCTGCATACCTCTGCATTGCCCTGCCCTTACCCTTACAAAGCTGCAGGTCTGAACATGCCTTGAGCCTTGAGCGATCCAACGAGGTCCGAATCCGTTTGCCAGGGCAGTATGTGCCCATTAGACAGACTCGCGAGCATGCAGCAAAGACCGTGCTGTAGCTCTAAAGAAAACGAAGTGACAAAAGATCCATCGACATCTGTCGGCTTCGAGTGAGTAACCATGTTGATGTGCTCATGTGTTGCTGCAAGTTCCATGGCCTTCACCCTTTCCACACTTACAACGGGCCCTCTTATTGCTGACTTGCACTTCCGCGGCACAACTTGCAACTTGAGTCGTCGCTTGCCTCGACTATTGGCGCGGCGAAGTGCCACAGACCGACCCCCTTGCGAGCCTCTGGCGAGCGCACATTGTGCACAGCATCGGATGCATATCGGGTGCCTCGTCCAATTCCGGGTGCAGGCGTCCATGTGCTGTGTCCTGGTGATGGAAGGATGGACGGCTCGACACAACTCCGTGTTTCGCGATGTGTGCGAAGGGAAATTGCGCACCGCGAGAGAAGTTCAGGACAAAAACTCGAACACGCAGGCCACCGGTTTTGGCTGAGACTTGGAGCCACGACTCCAGATGTGGGCTAGACACGAGACTCCGAGACGCAGTTGCGTTTTGACTCAAGCATTAACGAGCGAGAGTCTTGAGTCGTTCTTCAACGAGTTTCCAGGCCTTTCCAACAAGGCTACCAACTCGTACTTGCTCTTTGCGAATGGGTTCACTGTGATGCAAGCTCAGCAAGACTGCAAGAACAACGTGCAATGGCGTCATCGTGGTCGCGTGGAACACCTCCGTGAGGTTGGGCGGGAAGACCCTGAGGAGGAAGTGGCAATTGGCGCCGTGCATTCCACGGCGATGAGTTCTTCGAATTTGAAAAGACAGCTGTTTGCGTGAGTCTGGATTGTGCGAATTTCTCCTTTGAATGTGCCGACGTCACTGACGCTGCCAATGCGGCGGGGGGAGACGTCTCCTGCGGCGCGGTGCCCTGACCTCCACAGCGACCCGGGACGGACGAAACCTTCGCTGCTTTGTCCGAACCGGCACGGCGTCCGCCGGTGCCCCTCACGACGCACGCTGGCCTCCTCAACTTCCAGCCGGACTCACCGGCAGTGCGCACTGACGCCGCCGTCGCTCAAGCTCTGCGGACTGCCACTGCTGGACTCGAGCAGCCAACCTGCTGCTCGTCGCCACTTTTGCTCTGTTTGCCGACACTTTCGCACCAGTTTGCGCTGCAGATGCAGGGCTGGCACGGACGTACTTTCAGGCATGCTTGTTTCTAGGAGAGCCATCGGGTCGGGCGCAGAGCAAAACAGAAAAAAATAAAATAAAACTCTCGTGCGTCCAGCTCCGCGATCGCTCGGATGAGACGGGCCAGTGCATTCGGGCTGACCGGCTGCGAGTTGCGCAAGCTCGCGACAAGTAATGCCCAGCGCTCGCCAACGTTGAGCAGCATTCGCCAAGCGCACGCGGCAGTCTCTGCTAGACGTCCCGCTGCGGCGTGCAGCAACGGGACGTAGAGCCAGTAGTTTCGGGAACCTGGTGTGACCGGCGGTGGGCTCACTGCAAGCGACAGGTCGGTGTGCGTCGGAGGGGGTTCATCAACTGGCGTGAACCCTGGCGTGGCGTCCTCAGGAGCCGTAGGTGCGGCACCCCCCGGGACCGCCATGGAAGAGTTGTTGACGATGCTGCCCCTAGGCGATGCAAAAGGCACGTCCGCTGACAGTGTGCCGGATAGTCGCGAGTCGCGAAAGGCGACCCAGTAGCGTGGTTTCGGGCCATTGAAGCGCGGAGGTATCGTGTGGCCGCCTCGCCGATACCACGTTGATGGGTGCGCCGACTGGACCGAGAAACTGGGGAGGGCAGGGATGCGACAGCGCAGGGAAAAAACTAAAACAGCGGAGGAGAACTTGCCCACACAGAATTGTTTTTGCCGAGGCTCTGCCCATGTAAACATCTCCTGCCGACGACAATCCTGTCGGTAACACCCGATATTGCCCCATTGCAAAAATCCAACTCGCAGGCCCGTGCTTGCCTGACAATCGACCGTACGTGTATGATGGCCCAGTGAACTCGCAGACATTCAATGGCGATTAGTTGCGCATGGGCAAGATTGCCAACCCATGGCCTTTGCTTCAATTTATGCACCTCACGCTTGCTGCCCTGAAACGGAACGTTGTGAGTTTTGGCAACGTCTTTTTTCCTCGGTGCAAAAAATCTTTCCCAAACATAGATATTGTCATTGCAGCTATCCTTGTGGCTCCCGGGGTTGGTTGGTGAGCACCGCCAACGGCCACAGATCGGAGTTGTGTCGAAATTGTTTGCCTTCTTTGCTCTACTCTTAACCTCGTCATCTGCACTTGCACTTTGCCCGTTCGAGTCACGAAGATTACGGTCCTTGGGACAACGGTGGGTGTGTTACGAGCAAAATGATGTGCGAGGCCGTGGCGGACTGTACAAAATCATGTCTCGTTGACGGCTATCTTGGCAAATGAGCTACATCAGACCACAAATTGTATCCATATCGCTTGGGGGGCGACCTGGTCGTCGTTTCGGCTCAGTATTGAAATTGTACCGGGATGGGGGACTCCAGGTTGCAGCGCGTAATGGACAAACATCTTCGCAGTCAAGTTCATTACGAACCTGTGTTGGTTAGCACGATGAGCAGGATGTTGCCGGAAAGCAGACGATACCCGGGCGTTCATGCGTCGCATTGTCTCCTCCAAGATTCGTCCACATCGCGACTCCACCCAACAAGGTTTCGTAACTGTTCCAGCTGCCGCGCCGTCAGTGCCAATGTGGAAAGTCCGAACAGTGCCGTAGGCGTTACCGCAGCATTGAAAAGCTTCAATCTACCTTTGATTGACAAGTCCTGGTATGACCATCTGGGGTATCTATGTGGGCTGGCTTGCCAGAAGATGTCCGATAAAAGTGGAGGTCGCAATCAGCGTCATCCAAGATTCGGCAAAAGGCCATGACCGGCTCTGTGGCATCAGGGACATCCATTCGAAAAGAAGCTGGAATTGCGACAGGCTCGCCACAGCAATCCGTTGCGGGAATGGCCGTGGGGCGGTCAGTTCACCCTTGTGTCGAATGGGGGTGCCCACAGTTCCTTTTGCCGTGTGGCGTCGACCGTTGCACCAGGGAAACACTGATCACTTGCGCAGCTGGTCGTGGCACCGGAATCAAGAAGGACGTACTTGGTGGAGGATGTTGCGGCAACCTGTTCAGTGACCTCAACAGCCTGAGCCGGAGTATCGCTGATGACAAACAGCATTTCTTGGATGGCGCCTTGACCTTTGCGGCCCTCAGAGTGCCCTGACGGCATGGACGGGTTAGCAGATGAACGAAGCGCATCAAGCTGTGTTTGCAGCGTGGAAATGGTGGCCGACAAATTCTTGTCTGGCGCGCGCTTGTTGGTTTTGCCATCCCCTTTCGGGTTGGCACGGGCATTGAAGAAACAAGCGTCAGTGGTGTGATTCTTACCCTTGTCTGGGCTACAAATCGCACACAGGACCCCCTTGCCAGATTTGCCGCTGGGGTCACCCTTGCGATTGTCTTTTGACTTACCATCACCTTTCGCCGGGGAACCTCTTGACCCTTTATCTGGATTACCCTTCTTGCCGCCTTTACCGCCTTTAGTCTCTTTGCCTTTATGGGGCTTGGCGTCTGCAACGTCGACTGCTCCTATCTCCATGGGTGCTCGCCCAGAGTATGGAGCTGATGATGCAGAAGCAGATCCGAATGTCGTGCCTGCACTGCGCCGCCACAGGTTTTTGGACTTCAAGTACTGGACGATGAACTCGCGAAGAGTTTTGTACGTAGACAAGCTCGCCGAATTCATGGCAATTTGCGGTGCAAGCGCTTTGGGCGCCACCTCCGACAGGATGGCAAGTTTCAGATCCGCATCAAACGTCTTCATGTACTCACGTTCGTACACTCTTCAAGGCCCCGTTGCCACAAGCTTTCCTTGGTTGGGAAGGTCGGATTTGACAGCGCGCGCAACCATGCGAACGGTTTGTGCTTGTTTTCTGGCTCATACCGTGCATGCATGCGGCGCCAAAGTTCAAACCCATTGCGTTCAGGCACCAACATTGCCATAGCTGGGATCTCGCCGGCCTGGCACAACCCAACTAGAATGGCAAATAGATCCGTGCAAAAACCTTCGGCCTGATCCGTCATTTCGATCGGATCAGAATCAATTTCCTCTGCTTGCGAAGCTGCTTCCTTCAGCAACTGCGGGTATTCAGGATCCACAGTCCCGATCCATGATGTGAAACCGAATTTGAAACGTTCCCAATCAGCTTCGGTACCCAGAAACGGTTCTGGAGCCTTTACCAACTTGGGGTTTAGTGGCTTGCGTTTGGAGTCGACAGCTTGCGTTGGCTGGTTGCTCGCTGTCAACTGTGCAATGGCGGCCTGTGCCACCGACAAAGCGGCATTAGTCGCCTGGGTTTGCTGTTCGAGTGCAGCACGTGTGTTGCCCAGCTCCTGCTGTTGAGAGCCGAGTTGCGCAGTCAGCTGCTGCATCTGACTGGTCAACATTTGAACTTGTTGTTCAAGATTTGCCATTGCAGCTTTGTCTGGGCAAAGGACAAGCAATGACTGTCGTGGAGTTTAATCAACCAAACGGCTTTAACCCCTTATCGTAACCTAAAGGACCTGGCTCAAACCTTTCAGGATTGGTGCAAGGTGCAAAGTGCAACCACTCTACGGCTTTGAAACCGGAGGGTGCTCAAACGCTCAAGGAGGATTCGTCCGAAGAAGAGAACACTTCGGGCGACTTTTGGGACTGGTTGTTAGATGCCACTGGCGCAGTATCAGGTGACGAATGGGCAGTCCGATTCTCTGATGAGCGTGCTTCTTGCTGGATCTGTGCTTTCAGCTGGTGGACGCGCTTCTTCAGAGCACGTTTGTTTTCAGCAGCTACGGATCTCTTCTTTGAGCGAACACACTTGCCTGTTTGGGGATCGCGTTTGCGGACGTGTCCCTTGACGGCACTTGTGCCTTTCGCCTTGCCTTTGCCGGAACCTTTGTTCCCTTTGCCTTTGGGAACCTTGCTTTTCTGAAGGTCGAAGGTAGCAGGCTCTGCTTTCGGCTTGCTGGCCGAGGATGGCCGAGGCGGTTTTGTCTGCAGTGTTCTTCCGCCTTGGAGGCGGTGGAGGTGGCGGCGGCCAGGGTCGGGCTGACCCAGGGCCCCGCTGTTGTTCTGTCGTGTTGGATGCTTTCAGCTCCGCGTGACCATGCGCGCGGGGCTACGCAGTTGGTATCGTATTGGGCTCAAAATACAATCGCGCACTTTCTACACTGCTAGGCAAGGAACCTGAAAGGCTGCGGATTCACGGTCATGGTTTTCATGACAACAAGACGACTATATGCATGCTACAGCATTTACTGCTCGTACGCGTTCGTACGCTCGCAGGCACGCTACGCTGGAATGCCTGTCGCCCTTCGCTGCAATGTTCTATGGGCAGGCCAGTTGCTACGTTTCTCTTGACGAGGGTGGTATCGGGCACGCTGTGTGGCAAGGCTAGGGTGGAGCAGGGTGACCCAAGCATGCCAGGGCTGTATGCCTTGGGCCAGCACGCGGCACTCCTCTCCATCCACGGCCAACGCCGGCCCACCGAGAGGCTGTATGCATTCCTCGACGATGTGTGCAGCACCAGCCAGCCCGAGAGAACGGTCCCTGCGCTCCGCGTAGCTCAGGACGCGCTGAGCACGCGCCTTCCATACTCGCCGCCACACAAGCCGCAGCGTACTTTGCTGGGCGGTGCCGGCCTGGGCTGCCTGCCCCGTCTTCCCGCAACGACGACCCGGCCGAGACCCTCCGGGGCTTGCAGCGTGGGGGGCGGCCTGCTCATCGCAAGGCTGATGTGTGACCCGCGTCCCGAGCGCCGCTGCTCTCCCAAGCTGGACCGCGCGAGGTAACAGTCTTCACGTTTCTGCGCACGTCGGACATTGTTGCCGTGCCTGACCCGCATTTCCGCGTCCTGCTCGTACGGCGACTGCGCCCCTTCCCCTCGGTATTGCCGCGGCCTCCTTGACGAGTGCGGCGATCAACGAGCCGCCTGCTGCAACTCCGGCGTCCTTGCATCCCGCGTGCTGCCACTCGAGCGCGCCGTGGCCCGGGTTTGCCTGGAGGCCGACGCGTGTGTGGGGCGCAACGTCGCCCCGTCGGCCATGAACCTCGATGTGCCTCATTTTGTGGCACGGCGCGCAGATCGCATACTGAGCTGTTGCTTGCCCACCCCCAGCTTTACACGAGGCCTAGCTGCTCCTAGCTGACGCCCACTGGGGCGAGGGCCCGGCGCCGAGCCGTCTGCCCAGCCGGGCCAAGCCAAGGTATCCTACTTGAAGGTTCATGGTACTTGCTAACCAATTATAATTGTATGAAAAACCTTACTTTTCATGCCTTCAAAGGGCCTCAAAGGGGTTATCCCAGTTTTTGTAGGGTTCTAAGCCCAGTTATGTGGCCGACCGTGACTGCGGCGGACGCAAAAGACCTGAAAAAACAAAAAAGACTGAACACCCCCCGCAGAGCGTTGGCGATGACCTCGACGCTCATCTTGGCAATGACAACATTATATAAGGCATTGGTGGCCGCGTGGTGCTGCCGGCGCTGCAGCGAACATCACGAGCCCACTCACAGGTTGTTGGCACGGGCGTACATAGTCGAGCGATTGGGCTTGGGTGCGCGTTGCACGCGAGGCTGTCGGATCCGATGCAGATGGCTCGACCTGGTCGTTCGCGGTGCCACACCGCAGGGAGGCGCGTTGTGCTGCGATGTCACCCTCGTCGGTCCACTCGCGCGTCGACAGCCGGGCACTGCTGATACAAACAGCGCCATGCTCAGCGACGCTGCCAAGCAGCGAAGAACCTCTGGAGCTGAGGTCGGAGGGCGCTGGAATGGCCGTCTGGCCGCTTCCTGCACCATGTACGGTGCTTCCGGGCGCAAAAGTGCCGCCTGCTCTCTGCCGCGCGGCTGCAGTGGACTGGTCCCGTCGTTGGTGGGGGCATGCTTGGGGTGGCCAGGGTTCTTGGGCCCAAGCGGCCCTGGCGGCTCCCGCGCCCTCACCGTGTTCCCTACCACCCCGGAATTTCGCATGCCCTCCGACTGCATGCGCGTCCTGTTGCTCCGGCGGCTGCGCCTCCCATTGCCCCATACGCCGACACGTTGTCGCTGTGGTGGGACCCTGGCCGCCTTAAGGGCCGCGTGTCCGGGCCGCGGCCCGGCAGGCGGCTGGTCCCCGCTGGACAGGCAATACATGCATGCTGGCCGTCGCAGCGCAGCGGGCTCTCGCCCTGTCACTCCCGGAGCTCGACGTGTATTAAGTGGCCGCGAGCCGCTTGCCGCTGTGCGCCTGAGGCGACGCCCGCGGCCGGTCCGTAGCAGTTCCAGCCGACTCGGGACAAACCGCTGTGAGGAAAACCGGTGCGCAAAAAAGAAGAGTGCAGTTGCTGCTTGCCGCAATGAAGTTGCGGCAATGCTTTCACTCCGCTTGTTTGCCTGTAGTCATGAACATGCTGCACATATGTGAACAACTCCCGCTTGCAATCATCGGATGTGCGTGAAAAGTGATTAACACGTCGTGGTCGCAGAATTTGCTGTGCTTATGCAGCGATGACGATTGGATTTTTTTCACGCACCGCTCGTGGCGGCGGTGCCGTGAAGCGGCAGGAGTGAATGGTGTTGAGCAATTTAATGATGCCGTCTTCTTGCAACTGCTGTAGCCAGCCCAATTTAGGGCTCAGGCAGATATAGCATTGACCATACAGAAAAGCGGCCCTCACACGTGGTCCATGAAGGGCAGAAAATCCGAAAACCGTGTTGACCATCTCGCCTCATCTTGGGCTTCAAGTTGCCCGTTCTCACATCGTTTCCACCGACAGAAGTTTTGAAACTTGGAATCCCACTGGTAATTACCTGGGTCGCCCCGTGCGTCGTGACTAATTCGGAACCCAGTTCAAAGCACGTTTGACCCACCGATCAGCACGTAGGGAAACCACATATTGCGCAAATCGCCAACAAGAGCGCAAGCATCGGTCAGACCATGTCGAAACGCTGCATGCTTGTATCTGCTCTGAAGATCACATGCCATTCTGCGGACCAGTCTGTGCCACTTGGTGCGCCAACGACAATTGCTGTTATGTGCATATGTTTCACTTGGTAGTTAAGAATTGATTCAGGGCACCCGCAAATCAGCCACGGCGAGTTTGTGAATTGATGGGTGCAGCATTTGAACCTCAAGTCCAACTTAGTCATGCTGGATCCTTCGGGCAAGAAAAAAAACTCATGCATTGCGCGTAAAAAGAACATCCGTGGACCACAGACCAACGACCACTGACTTCCATAATATATTTGAATAAGAACTCGTGCTACGTTTCCGGCCATAGCCATGCGGTTAGCTGGGGAGAATGTGGAACTGTGGTGAGGGCTTCAGGCGTTTGAGCAGTGGACAGTGCCAAGCTAGATGTATGTGTGTGCGTGCGTGCGTGCGTGCGTGCGTGCGTGCGTGCGTGCGTGCGTGCGTGCGTGCGTGCGTGTGTGTGCGTGTGTGTGTGTGTGTGTGTGTGTGTGTGTGTGTGTGTGTGTGTGTGTGTGTGTGTGTGGTTGTGTGTGTGTGTGTGTGTGTGTGTGTGTGTGTGTGTGTGTGTGTGTGTGTGTGTGTGTGTGTGTGTGTGTGTGTGTGTGTGTGTGTGTGTGTGTGTGTCTCCAATAATTACGGTCATGCATTGAGCTCCTCAGGTCTGGCCAACGATTGGTCATGATTTCACGTGCTAAAGAGAATCGGCCGTTGGCCAGATTTGGGGCAACCGTTGCAACAGCTCCCGACTGCTCAGCAGTCACAAGCTCGGCAAGCCTGGCTGTGCGCGTTCTGCAAATTGTTGGATGGTTTGCGTAGCTTATGGCCTGCGAAAGGTCCTCGTTATGGGTGGGATCGAGGGCCACATCATTGGAGGCCACCAGGCATTCACGAAAGTTGCTTGTGGCAGATGCCTGGTTTTGGCAGGTGTGTGCTTGAATGACGTTTGGCGGTTCGACGTGGATTCCCGAACGTGGGAATGCTTGCCTGAACCTTCTTGGCAGCCGCGCCGCGGGTCTTTGCCAGTAGTTGTTGCCGGCGTTGGCGACACAGGCCTTTTTGCAGTTTGACGTTGACATCTTTTGTTGACCATGCATGTGTGTTTTTGGTTGTGTTTGATCTTTATTTGCCAGGTTGTGTGCTGCTCGTTGGCGGCACCGGTATTGATGCCAAACCATTGCGCGAAGTTTGGAAAGCAGACGCCCCTATGCCCATCGACTGCAAGATGCCAGTAAGCGTGCACACGTCCCAGAGTCAGAAGCATCAACCAATTGCGTGCAAATTGTGCTGCAGGTTCCGCCCGACCAGCTGGAGCCAAACTACAGATGAAGCTATGTGGCCTGATGCTGCTTACGCCTTGTGGGTGCCGCTGCAAGAAAGTGTATTGCTGTGAAGCTTGATGGGAACTGCATGGGTCCCAAGCCCTCGCTGTGTCAAGTCGTGTCGATGAGGTTCCAGAATTCCTTGGCGCAGGTGGGTTGTTTGCAGAGCTTGCGGTCAGCGTTTGCTTGTTTTAAGCACCGTGGCTTTGCAGGTTTCCTGCTCGTGTTTGATTCCGCGGGGTCATTGTGGCGCAGCAACGATTGGGGGCGGTCTTGGTTGAAACTGGTACAGAAGCTCCCATTCGGTTGGCCGCATGAGCAGGCGCTCGGGACTGCAGCCCCTGAGGCAGCGAACTCTTGTAGGCCTCGTTCATGTTCAATATGTTCATCCCTTTCTTCGTGCAAGTTGCTTTCGGCAAGGGTCCCTGCAAGATTAGGCAATCATCGTGCATTCAAATATGTACTGCATCACACCTTGCTGGCAACCAAGGTATCCTTTGTGCGATATAGCAGTGGTGCGCTCGTGGCGGTGACAATGTCCACCAGAGTGTGGGTTTCGCAGGCCAGCACAAGTGCGGTTGGCCCAGTCGGCCTTGACTTATCTTGACTTGCCAGTTTTCGCGGCTTCAGTGGCAGGACTTCGGCTGTTCCTGGACAAGGGGCGATGGCGACCGTGATCCTTACCATGTAGGGCGGGACCCAACTGCCGGCAAGGGCCGGGTTTCCTGGACAGGGCCTCCAGGCCCTTGCCACCAAACTTGCAAAGAAGCAACCGCGACACGTCGCGTCATATCGCGACCCACCTGCACCGCTTCGCGCCTGCTTGTGCACTTCCTTGAGTTCGGATAGAGGGTGTGAGGTTTTTCCCGCCATTGACAACGTCAAGCACCGCATGCTCGGCATTTGAGTTTGGGAAACTGGATTGTGCTGCTCCTGTACTTGCCATACAAGCCTGAAGGTCTGCGCTGCCAAATCATCGACGTCCTTGACACTGATGCCTCGGATGTCCTCGTGGTTGCTAGGACTCTGCCGATGCACATGGCGGCATTGGGCGAATGCAACCACAGCATGACTTTCCGACAGGAATCGAGAGACTTGTCAACTCACACTGTGGCTCCTCGCCATTAAGGCCGGCGCCCTAACCTTTTACATGTTTGTGCCTGAAGGTGCGACTGTGCCTTGCACCAACAAGATCTGCAGGCGGATGCTGCGCAAACGCTTCAATCCTCCTGGCACTGCCTTGTGCCACAGATCCACATCTATCCAGGCGGGGTCGTCCTGGGATCAAGAGAATGTGAACCCCCAGAAGATCTTGGTAGATCATATGCCGGTAAAGGATGATGGAAAACCAACAAACTACAAACGCCACCCAATGGCAACATGTGCATGTTCATGACATCAGTAGATACATGCCTCCATACAAAGGTAAATCCAAACTTACGTACATGCCTACACGTCTGCAGAGACACACGCGTGCGCGGGTGTATGTGCAGGCATGCACGTCATCCCGATTCTTCATCCGAGGTTTCTCCTCCGTGAACCAGCTCGTAAGTGCCGGGCGTGCTGCCCTGGGTGTGCATGATGGTGTGGAAATGCGGGCAGTGCACCTAGGCAGCAGCAACTTAAACAGATTTATTTACAGACCCCAGAGAAGCCTTAAGGGAAACGCAGATGAAGCTTGCCATTGCGCAATGCCACGGCCACGCAATGGGATAAGTTTTTTCGCCTCCCCCATCCTAGCGTCAGCGGATCTTGAATGAGCACCTTTGCCGTGAAAGGTTTGTGGAGTTCAATCCGATCAATGAGTTCACCGTGTGGCGTGCCAGTCCTGTTGGCGTTGATCGCCACAGGGCCATGCTGGATCGTCTGGGCAGCTCGCAGACCAAAGTGGACCATTGCACATGGCAGCGCCCTTGCTGCAAGCGAGCCAAACACCCTTGACCCCTTTTTTGGCAGTGCATCTGGCCAAGGAAACACATCATCGGAGCGTTGTTGCCATCCATGGGCAAAGACTGGGTGCCACGGGACTTGGCCGTGTCGGCGGCAACGGATAGCGTGCCGTACCAGGAAGACAATGAGTGGACATACTGGCATTGAGCGTGGGTGCCAGATTCCGTCCGTTCTTATCGATTAATCGTTTGATTGGCACGCGTGACTCGATCCAGCTTTAAAGCCTGCCTCGCAGCCTTGGATCGTCACAGCAACGTGTAGTTTACGTATTGTTCAGGCATGTTCAAGCACAGCTTGTTTTCCAGCAGGGCTGCTCAGCTTCCAGTCCGAGCAAGATCGCGGGGTGGAAGCATTTGCCAGAGCAGTGCTGTAGCGATGCACCAAATTAGGTTCGTTGGTTCTGTAGCTTGCCGGAGAAGTCCCGTAGCGATGCATCAAATGTGAGGTTCGTGTAGCTTGCAGTTTTGGTGGACAGGTTTGTAGGTGTTGCTTCCATCCACTTCATTCTTTGAAGCATGTTGCACGCGCTGGTGGGGGTCGGTTCGTCGTTCATCATCAATGCAAGCTGCTACTCTGCAGCTGTTGTGGTCTGGCAGGCTGGCAAGACATGTCCTTCAAGTTAGTACGCAGCTTTCCCAGTTCTTGCTTTTTGCAGTTGTGGTAGTATAGATGCGTTGAAATTCCGCATGACCTACGGGGGGCAGAACAAAGAGGGCGATAAATTTACAGCATCCCACAGCGTCCCAGGGCTGACCTTCATTTCTGGCTCAGTAGGGGCCGCATGGAGGGGCCTGGTGAGGAATTGCACCAAGACCACACTTTGGATCCTTGGTTTTTCTTGGTTTGGTAGCTTTACCGATTGCTTTTGTCTTTTGGGTGGTGCCGTTGATCTTTGTGTGCATTTCGCCTGCTGCTCAGGGACAGCTTGGCTGGACAGCATCTGCTTCCTGTCGCTTGCCTGCACGATTTGGTAGCAAAGGGTTGAAATGTGCTGGTGCACATGTTTCCCTATTCTTTCCGCGCTTTTGCTTTGGAAGGCTTGGTTCCCACGCGTGGAAGAGATGGGCACCAAGCCTCTGCAGATGCAGCGCTGATGGAAGCAGTCAATGCAGTGTGGCGTGGGCATCCAACAGCGAACAACATCATGATGATAAATCGGGTGGTCAGACCAAAGGAGAGTTCAGTTTGCTGTGATCTGCTTTTCGGCTCCTGAGGTTAATGCGCCAAAGCTCTGTGCAAGATGCTGCCGGCAGCCAAAGCTGCGATCTCGGAGCAGTCCTGGTCCTGCTCAAGATGCTTGGGCATGCAGGCATGAGCACATGCGACCATCGAGCAGTCCAACTTTGTTGAAACAGTGTAGTTGCAAGTTTGTGGCAGTGTGGTTTGCTTGCTTCCTTGTAGTTGGCGCTTCGCTGTACTCGATGCCCTCTGTAGCCTGCCATGCCTTGTTGCAGCCTTCAGTAGACACGCACCTGAGCCAGAGAGTTCACTAGACAAGAACACAACGTGTCGCATCCATACCATCAGATCCCTGCAAGCCCTTCGAAGAACACTGGCTTCAGGATGACTCCAGGGCTTGTTTTGCATGAAAAGCCTTGTAAATTCTTGGACCCCAAGAACTTCAAGCATCTCGCCAGTCCAGGACATCCCAGATGAACCAGGTAGAGCAATCCCCAAAGCACGTGCAATGCGCCCTTTGCCAGCCAAGGAAGGGATGTTTGAAGTCGCTACGCTCTCCCGGTGCTGTGGACAGAGCTGCGGATCACGCGAGCCAGCGGCCCAACAACACATCACAGTCGCAGTGGTGGCGGACTTCGAATGGGATGTCATGTCACGACACGATGGTCCAGAGTGAGCATGTAGCACATCAGACATGAAAAGATCTGGCCAATCACGTTTTTCCATAAACAAAACCCAAAACCCAACTGCTAATTGTTCGAAAGTGACGCAGAAACAAAACCCAGTCCTCCGGGTTGGGCTGTAAGATTGCAGATTTCTGTTTCGTACAGGGCCTGTGCTGGGCTTCCTCATCGATTTCATTGTGGAGAAACCAGATCACATACTCCAAGTTGCGGAGGCTCTCCCGCGGCACTCCCGATGCAGTGTCGTCTTCTTGACGAATCGCCCCTTAAAATGGCCCTGACGAGGTGGTAAACATCTTGCTCACCTCCGATGACTGGGCTGCTGGTCTCGACGCCGAGGTGCCGGAGACCAGAGTTTGTTCCATCGCCGGCAGACTTCTCGATGAATCCTTGAAGGGTCGCATCTCCATCAAGGAGAACCAAACAGCATTGGACACCCTCTATTTAAGCGACTGGCAGGTGATGCAGGATCTCGTCCTCCAGCTCACAAGCGAGCAGCAGGCAGTTCTCGGAATCCAGAACGCAACACGGCTGATGGACCACAAGCACCACACTAATCACGACAGTTTGCCTGTGAGGACTAGCGGAGTTTCTTCCCTAAAGTGTTAGCTTCCATCAAGGGGTGTGCGGGGTTCCCCGGCAGGTGTGGTCGTTGGTATTCCTAAGGGTGTGGTACACATGAGCTGCACTTATTTGTGCATGGCCCGCTCTTGTATGCAATCATCGCTGATGCACTCCCCTCTCCACCCCCACTCCCCTCCCCCCCTTCACCCTCCTGCCCCCTCCCCCTCCCAAATCCAACCATTAAATTGAGAATCCCATGTAGGACAACGCAATTAACAATATAGTTGTTGCTAGCCATGAACGGTTTACATCGCGCGACTGCATGCTGCTTGTCGGTACGCACCTAAAGCAAGTAGCCCACACTGTCATATTCAGCGCTCAGGGGGAACAGAAGGGTCAGCGCCGAGGATGTGCTCCTGGCGCAGCTTCCACCGCTAGCGGTGGAACTGGCACAGGAGCGAGCATCGAAACTGCTACAGGATGCCGGCCAAGTTCGGACCCTTGGCCCAGTTCAGACAAAAGCTCGATCTGATAGCACAAACAATCACAACGCGTGGAGTCATGGTGTGTTTCATTGGCCATGAATTCGAGCTAAGTGGTTCGTTTGCTCTTGCTCATGCCAGGAAGGAGCTCGATCGTGTCCGTCACTTGGCGCAGAAAGGCTTGTGAAACGGTTGGTGCCGGTGCTGAGTGAACAGCGTGCTTATCGACGGCACAGCGTGAGCACAGTGGCTCTGAGGCGCTGGCTTAGGCGAGGGCGGCCTGCGATTCAAAAGCTCTGTTCAGGCTCGACGGGCACTCATGCCTAGTCGTGACGAGTTTTTTGCGCTTTACTTAAGCTTATTTGATGCCCACCGGGGCTCAACAGGTTTCGTCTGCAGACAGTGGGGGGAAAGTCTTGTCCTAACCCGCAGGAGCTTCGATTTGAGCCAAGCTACAGGTCTGGCGGTCACGCAGCCTGCTCCGCACACATAGATGATCGCGCATTCGCCAGGTTCACCTTGGCCGAATCGTAGACTGCTGTGGCGCTTTGTGGGTAGTCGGCAGTGGGGAAGTATGTGTTGCAATTAGCTGCATTAGCTCCGCGAATACGTCCTGCGGACTCCGGTCCTGTCCAGCCGGGCCATGCAACTTAGGTGTCGGCGGAGACTGGCGACTTTGAAGAACCCAGCATGGACACAATGGACCATGTCTCGATTTGTTTGAGCTCACTCGTTGTAGAGGCATGACTTGTTCAGGTGAGGAGGAGGGTGGCGAAGATGCAAGTCCATCTGGCAGCTTGGATGCGTTCCGACACGTCACTGGAAGCATACCTCATCTGGCAGTGCGTGTTTGTGTGCCTGGCAGCACCATGACATGGACGTGGCTTGTTCATGTTTCTTTTCTTGGATGCAGTTGCCATGCCCTAACATGCAGGTTGGCGATCGACCACTACACCCGATGGCAACCGCATCTTGGCAGAATTTGATGGTGGAGTAGGCTAGGCAGGTTTTGGATGGCCTTATAGGAGCTCAACTAAAGAGCCAAGGTTACTACTACCATCAGCGAACGAAAGAGATCCGTCGCATTCCTCCTGGAGTTGGGACAGCCTCTGCGTCTGAAGTGACTCGCAGCACTTGTGTCCTTGCAGCCCTTGCCTTGTTACTGCTCTCTTGCCTCGTCCTGGCTGACCTTTCGGAGCAGTCATGTGTGCAATTGTGTGCATGTGGGCAAGGCCAGCAGTAGAGCCAAACCCTGGGTTGGCGAGAGGGTCGAAGTCTTCAGCAACTCCGTCCGAAGCCGCTTGGGGCATCATTGACGCACGCACTCGCATGCCGCATGCACTCGAATGCCGCTCGCATGGTGTCCCCATTCCGCCGATGTCATCATGAGGCTGGTGCCCTGGCTTCGTGGAGCGAGTGGGAAGGCTTCTATGATGCAAGCCTGCCAGAAGTGACTCTTCGTTTCATGGGACTTCACAGTGACCCAACTTCCACAGCCCGGATGCTTTCAGATGCGTGATTTCACATGCAAATCTGCCCTCTTTGGTAAGGGCCGAAGTCATGATTGCATTTCAGCTTCCGCATGCTCGTGCAAACGACTGGTGCAAGTGTCTTGGCCGGAACCTTTTGCAGTCCTGACAGCGCATGAGCATGCCTTGTAAACTTCACCAGCTGTCTGCGTGACCGTGGCCCAGGAAGACCTTGCCACTTGGGCATCCGGAGTTGCGCTGGGTGTCAAGACCACCTGAGTCACCAATGCCTGATAGTGTGGGTGCTTCCAGAGAGGCACCCATGGAGGAGAAGAGGATGATGTGCAAAACCTCATCGGGTTTTATCGGGACCAACCTGCCGACCAATTGGACGGAAGATGAGCTTAATCTGTACGATGCCCTGTACGCAGAGCTGGAGAGCAAGTCTAAAGACCAGCCTGCTTCAGAAGACATGGATCCCCTCGCGGCGCAGCAGTCCGACTTCATAGCACAGTCTGCTTTGCCGCGCCGTGCATTGCGGGAGATTTGGCAGGTAGCCAACCCACACCTCAGGGCCAACCTTGGCCCGGAGGAGTTTCGGGCGTGCTGCCGACTGGTTGGCCATTGCCAGGTCGCCGCAAACGCGCCCTCGGACGACAAGGCGGCGCTGGGATGCCCTGCAACTCGAACCGTCCGCACAAGAGCACACACACACACTCACACATGAGGGCGACGGAGTTAGAGAAATCGAAAATCCGAATCCACATGGAGCAAGTTCCGACTCTTCAGAAGGTCTTAAAGCGCCTGCGTGCCGGTGGCGGCAGTTTGCGTGCAGATCTTCGCAGCTCTTGCCTGGGTGAGCCGCCCAAGGCCGCAGCTGCGTCTTTTTCAAGTGCCTTTTCATGTCTCTGCCCATATTTTCTTGCAGCTGTTGCTGTTGCCAAAGAAAAAGTCCTGGCAGGCGCTGCCACGGTTTGATGTCGCGGCCGCGTCGCTGGCCGAAGCGGAAAAGTGTCAGTGTCTGCTCAGTCTGCTCTTGAGGCACTGCGCCGTTCGACTTGGGAGGTTCAGGCACTCAAGGCTGCAAGCTGGATGCCGCTGTGCTCGAGGTGTTGCTGCAGGGTAAGATCGGTAAGATGGGCAACGCCATGGATGCTAGGAAGTGGGGCTAGCCATTAGCCATGGGGGCGATGCGTTGATGTAAATCTGAGTCGAACTGCCAAGCCATCATCAACAGCCGTCAACAGCTGCAGATGCGAGACCTTTCTTACATGTGGGGCTGCAGGCGACTCTAGCATTACGTTTCACAGCCATTTTCGGTGTGCCAACCTTCTACGCCTCCACGAAGCTTGACTTGCCATAGTCGGATGTGAAGTGTTGCACGGTTTCACGTTCAAGTATCAATTCGGTGATGTTGGCATGCATGGATGCGAGGGCTGCGAGGTGTAACATGTGCTGAGTTTGGCATCATGACAAGGCAGGGTTTATGGGAAATCACGGGAAGTCCAGACCAGGATCGCTTCGAACTGCCAGAGAATGGCCGGCGCTGGCCATGCACTCCACAGTTCTGCGGGCCCGCACTGGGTTCAGTTTGACAGGCTTTTGCATCACTAGGACTCGTCAAACAAATCAGTCTCGACCAAGTTTCGTCATTGCCGCTACTGCTTCCTGCTACCAAGGTTTCTTCCCAAGGGGCGGCGCGAATCTTGCTGCTGACTGCCTTGGTGGTCTGTGAGTGCGTTTCTTCTACCAAACTGGTTTTGTGGAGGAATGGCGAAGAGAGGTGGGTCGGGGCTCGGGGGTACGCATGCTGTTCCAAGATGCGGTCTGGCGTTTTCGTTGCCAATCTGTTGAAGAAGCCTGGATAGGGGAAAAAGGTTGAAGAACAACCAAGGATAGGCATGGACGTCCTTTCATGCGCGGCTGATTATCCAGGTTTTTTATAGCAGTGGGTGTAAGCTAACCTCATTTTCCATGTTCATGTCCGGGTCAACTACCTGTCTGTCTTCAGTTTCCAGCGGGTCCGCCAGGTATCGGACCCTCATTGGCGTGGTTGGCCACGAGGGTAGCTGCGAGCCAAGCTGTGTGGAGAAGCGCGACGTGGTGGTTCCGCCCAATGTTTTCTACAAGGCCAGTTTCCGAAGACACGAAATAGCCCCCAATGGCAGGAACATGCATCGACCTTCTCAGGCGCCGAGGTTTGCCATTGTGCACCTTGCCAGGTCAAAGTTGAGGTTGCGCAGGTGGACATGCATTCCAAAGATGAGCATGTCAACGTTAAGGCTGGGCCGGTGCATTCTTTTTTTTTTGTTGGGCCCGTCGCTGATAGTCCTTTGAACTTTGAAACCCCGGAGCCTAGAAGAAGCTGACCCTGCCCGCCAATTCCCCGTAGTATGCCATGAATTCTCAGGTTGGAGGACAGAGCGTGACATGCAGCCCGAAAGTTGCTTCCGACTATAACTGCTCGTTGATAGAAACCGGCCTGCACTTGCGTGAGAAAATTTTCAGAAACATGCTGAGTTGTTCAGTTCTGTTGCGCTCTGTTGAGCTGCGCATCGAGAGCACGCTCGGTTTGGTCAGAGAACGTCTTAGGAGTGTGGCAACATAAACTTCGGCCGCGTGGTCAATTCCGAAGTCCTTGTTGAGGTGCAGGCATTCCGCACCCGTGACCTGATGGATTGTTGCTGCAATCATACAACGTTAGATGGCTATTTTTGGTGGCTTGTATCGATCTCTACTGTATGTGGCAGCAGTGAGGCGATACGTGCAAATGTGCGGCGAGCCCGCAGGGTGATGTGGACTGCTACAGTGAATTGCTGTCCGGATTGGATGCAAAGCTCACCAGATGCAACAAGGACATGGATAGGAACCACTGTTGATGCAAGAAGGCCTGCACCGATTCACAGATTCCGGCCTGTTCGCTTGCAACACCCTCAGCCTAACATTTCACCTACAGGCATGTCCAAGGCCATGTTTTCGAGTTGTCAAAATCCTGCACAAAGCTGTCGTTGCGAGTGGACAGCTGCAAGGCATGGTTTTGAAGATCGGTAGATTCCAGCCCCTTCAGCCGGCCTGCCTGCTTTAACCAGCGAAGGTATGGCGCGTTTGTTCGCTTGACTTTCGAGCCGCAGGCAGGGACCGTCATCACATACACAGACATGCCAGCCATCGGCAGTGCAAATCTGATCCCTTGTGTGTGTCATGCCGTCTATATAATGCCGTCAGTGGCAAAGGCTGCGTAACGTTGGTGGGTTTGTCCTGCCTCTAGCAGCAGTTCGCAGGTCAGTGCTTCTTGGGTGACTGGAGACTGGGGCTTGTGCGATCAAATCGACTGCATCACGCCAACTGCAACGACAAATCGATCTGCCGCTTGTCTCGAACGGTGCTACAGGCAGCATGAAACAGCTGAGTGCTTGGACCGCCCAATTGCTCGCAACTGCATATGGTGTGCCCGCAGGGCTCAAAACTTCACAGAAAGAAAGCTACGAAGACGAACCAGCAGGTGCAATGCAGAGTTTTCGATCCCGGCGATGTGGGTGATGGTGGCGAACGTTGCGCAGAGCCGACTCCCGAATCCGTGCGATTCTGCCAGGAGGCTTCTGCATCCAAATTCATGTCTTGCAGTGTTGCAGGCATCTGGTTGTGCAGATCCAGCAAGCGGCTGGATATTATGATCTAGGGCTACTGCACATTGTATTTGCGAGCGTTGCTGTCTACTAGAGTCTCTGAGATCTTCAGCAGTGGTTGCAGCCAGCCGCCATTTGGCATGAACTGCAGGCTCCAGAGTGCATTCCGCCAGATGCCTGCCTCTTGCATGGAACTGGGAACCTTTTCTTTTTTGAAATGTAATTAATTATCTGGAATGAAGATGTTGTTCGGCATGCTAAACAAGAGGTGCCGTAACCAAGCTATATAAATTGTGGTAAACTAAGCTCCTCGCCTTTCGGAATTTCTCTGCGCGCATGCGCTGCCGGGGATGCTTCTGCTTCGCCAGCATCCGGGCAGATCTTGTTCATGAGCTCAGGTGATGATTGCTTCTCGATGGCACATCTCCGAGCTGATCGGCAAGAGGCCGAAATGAATTGGAGCGCCGCCAGGTGGCAGAGAGCCATGGACTGCCTGTTGTTAGACTATGTTCGACTTGCTCGTTGCGGCAAGAGCATGGAAGGACCTTAATTTAAACACGCCACAAGCGGGGCAGTGAGCCTGAGGCTATCGTTGTGTACTCCGCCACTTCTGGTTCTGTCTTCGTGGATGACACGGGGCGGCCGCTGCAACTGAGGTTCTCCTCTTTGCTCATTCTCTGGGATGGGTTTGGGTCTGTTCATTAACTGTGGTAGCACAGATGATCAAGAATGCTTGGTTTTTGAGCTGCGTACCACCCATTCGCACAGGTCCGGACCCCCGCCCCTCGCCCCCAAATATTAAATCAAAAATCCTGAGACTCCCACCAGGAGGCCCGCCCCTGTTGTTTTTTCTTTTTTTCGGGGGGGGGGGGGGAAAATTGGTGCCGGCTTTTGCGTCTTCGGGCTCAGGGTAGACCCTAATTAGTTAAATCCAAGCTCTCAACCCTGAAGCCCTAAACTCTGAAACCGAGTTCAACGCTGGACACAAATTCGGGTTGAAGGCCGTGCGCATTGGACACTGCAGCTCAGTAGGGGCAGGGGGGGGGGTGGGTGGGTTGGTGGAGCGGGCGCTTTACGCACGCAAATTCTGCATGATGGCATATTGAATGTATGTTGTTCGGCCATGGCGCAGACCAGCGCCGCGAGGACTTGCGGAAGAGTTTTCAAGAGCCAAGTCAGCACGCCGATTCCGTTGTTTTGTCGCATCTTCAGGCTTCTGCGGGGGCAGGCCCAGGTGAGCTGCAGCGCCACCTTCAGCGTACTTCCGGCAGGTTCACCGTTGTCGATCGCACCTTGCCGTACAGTGCTCTTCTGGAGTTTGTGGTGCTTGCGCTCTCTGGCCTGTAGACATCGTGCACAACATCGAGACCGAACTGCCCGTGACATTAATAGCAAGGGCTCCGAATCATACATTTATCGGGAATCCTGGACGGGATTGATTCCTTGGTGGCTATATTCTGTTCTGTTCTGTCCTGTTCTGTTCGATTCAATTTGAATTCAATTCCTAATTCTACTTGAATTTCTAATTCTAATTAAAATTCTAATTGAAATGCGAGTTTTCAGTTTGATTCTAATTCTCATTGCAATTCTAAAATTGGCAATTCTGTTCTGTCTGTTATATTTTATTGCAGTGTGTATGATGTATTCTGTATGATGATGTATAATGTATTATGTATTATACATGATATACTATCACTGTGTATTACATGTTAGGAAACATATATTATGTATTATATCTGACACACACCTATTCGATATTACATATTCTACATTCTATATTCTATTTATATGCTACATTATATATTCTACATTCTGTATTATGCATGTTATATATGGAGCTTTTGATCAGGGCCCCATTTTTCGTGAGATCCAAACTGCTCTCCGGTGCCTGGTCCCCTCGCACTTGTTTTCATGCGAAAACGTACAACCTACCTATATACATGCTCCCTCCGCAAGGCATGCATTTCGCTGGTCAGCTGTGATACTGGCAAATATTTGGTGCGGAGATTCACTGACAGTTTCAGAAGCTTCTCGGACTTGATGATGTCTGAGGACGACGGCTCTTTTCAGTTCCGCATGCAAGCGACCTTCCACTTGAAGCGAGTTGCTGCAGCAGGGTATGTACTGGCAGATCCCTACCACGGAGGGGAACAGAGCCCGCCCTTTGCTGTGGCACAGGGTGTGCCCACTTGGCTGGCTTCAGGCACAGATCAAAACAGCCAAAGCTGCTCGTTGGATTTGATGTTGCTTGGAACAACTCAAGAGATGTGCCGTGCCTCGACCACATACCTAACATGCCCCGATGCATCAGACGGAGCTTTCGGTCGATGCTGTGTGCCTGGCAGCTGTCCGACAGATGCAATTCCACCGCCATCATCTTGCAGCACTGCTGAGGGATCACCTGGCCTGGCCCTTGTTATGGCAGGTTTCTGTGAAGATGTTCGCTGTTCTCCAATAGAGGGACGAGAGGAATGCGAGCGTGCAGCGGCTGCCATGGGGTTTACTGGCAGTGGTGGTACAGCTGCATCCGCGCAGCTGCGGGTGTCCAACAATCTTCCTTTATTTTGCTCGTGGGAATACGCGACGGCTGACAACGGGTTCCCTGTCCTCTGGCTGAACAAGATCCCAGATCGAGGTGCTGAAGCTACGGAGCGGATTCCGCAAATCTGCCGTTGCGGTGAGGCACGCCCAAGCCGAATTTACACCTGGTCACAAGGTGAGTGGAGTGCCTGCAGCCGATCATGCGGCTGCTGGGTGGTGAGTCAAAAGTAGAGGTTTCTTGCGAGGGGCTATTTCCTAAATTTACTTCATGTTTTTTCCTAGTGATTTTTGTGTGAATATCGCTCCTAAGCGACACGTCAATGCATGCCACCAAGGAAAGCAAATGCGCTACCGTCGAGTGGTTTGCCATGAATTAATCGGGACAGCCCTGAGGGCAGACAGCGCAGATTTCTCAGGCCAGACAGACCGATATAGCTATACCGCACCCATGCTATGAAGAAGTCGCAGGCAAAGTAGCGGCAAGGGTAGAAATCCGGAGGATTAGGCTGAGTTGCATGCAGCAGGGAGGAATCGCCCAGCAAGCACCATTCCGCCTCACATAGCACCTTCTAGCCTGCATAGTGGCTTAGCATGTAAAAGTTGTTCGGCTTGACAGGTGCCACAGGAAGCCGTGAGGTTGAGCCAATCTTTTGCCGCCAGGCCGGCCTGGAGGCCGACTTGAGCCAGTATGGAGTTTTCGTAGAGCGTCGGAGCCGGAGCAGTGCTTTGATCAAGCGTTGCGTGAAGTTGCAGGAGCCGTACTCTTCTGAGCCATGCGGCTTGGCAGAATCCAAACTGGATTGTCAAGGTTGCAATGCAGCGCGTCAGAAGATCGTGAGAGTCTGACATCCTTCATGTTGGTGATCTGACATCTTCTTGTTGGTGAACTTGTGATTGAGTTCGTTGTTGTAAGCTTGGCTTGGTTCCCTCACTAGGCTCCACGCAAGTCTGTTGGGCTTTCGAGGACAACACGCGCTTCTTGGATTTGGTGGCCTCGTACCCACCCCCCTAAAGCGTATGCCGACCTTGCCCCTAAACCTGCAGATGTCACATATTAGGTGTGAAACATCACCGTAAAGCAAGTGATGCGGTCTTTCGGACTTGCCATGGCCGATGACATAGCTGTGTTTCGTTTATGACAGGGAAGAGGTTACCCAGAACAGACGCTGGAGTATGCACAGCTCCATCCGTGCAGGTTGTGCAGGCACCAATCGATTGCTGATGGCCTCGGAGGTGCACGAGGGCGCATGGTTGGTTGAGCCGCGCCCCGGCAGGGAAGAACGCTCAAGATATCAAGACGGCTGGCAGGGTTCTGGTTTTTAAAGCTATGTCACCTTGTTCGCTGTCAGGCCTGGTAATGGCACAGCAGCGCCTCATTGCGTTGCCATGAACACCTCCTCTGTGGCTGCTGTGGCCAATTCCGTGGTATCTCGGTGTGCGCAGTGTCATCCCTGCAGTAGTTGAAGTATGATGGAAGCCCCCACCCCAAACCCTCGCAGGCGTCCCCGGCGCGTGCACACACGCGCGTGCACACACCCGCGCGCATGCACGCATGCACGCACGCACGCACGCACGCACGCACGCACACACGCACACACGCACGCGCGCGCGCGCACGCGCACACGCGCACACGCACACACGCACACACGCACACACGCACGCACGCACGCACGCACGCGCGCGCACACACACACACACACAGACACAGACACAGACAGAGACACAGAGACACACAGAGACACACAGAGACACACAGAGACACACAGAGACACACAGAGACACACAGAGACACACAGAGACACACAGAGACACACAGAGACACACAGAGACACACAGAGACACACAGAGACACACAGAGACACACAGAGACACACAGAGACACACAGAGACACACAGAGACACACAGAGACACACAGAGACACACAGAGACACACAGAGACACACAGAGACACACAGAGACACACAGAGACACACAGAGACACACAGAGACACACAGAGACACACAGAGACACACAGAGACACACAGAGACACACAGAGACACACAGAGACACACAGAGACACACAGAGACACACAGAGACAAACAGAGACACACAGAGACACACAGAGACAC